GAAGAGTAGCAGGCAACGTATATTAGTCTTTCTGTTGATGGAGTCATGGAAGTCATATTGCAAGCGGCTGGAGTTGCTAGCAAACAGGACGCGTAATCTGTTTTCAAGACTTTACTTGCAAGTACAGCGCACATACAAAAGGCAACAACTGCCTGCAGGAGATATCATATCTCCATATTTGTATAATAATTTTCTCGTTCCAACGCTGACTTGTCCTTTTATACGCTTGCGGGTTCTATGTTCATCCTCGGGGACCAACCCGCGTTGACCTGCCGGCTGCTCTTCCAGTGCAAGGTGTGGAGAGCGACAGCTCCCTCCTTTGTTCAGCCCACGTTCCCGGTTTTTTGTGGAAGGCAAGAGCTTGACCTGTTGTTTGCCTCACGTCTAAGGTGGTGTGCGAGGGAGGCGTTAACTGCCTCTGCTTTGTTACAGCCGTTGCAATATAAAACGTGAAAAATGGCATAGTTGTTGGAGTCGATAAAATCCGTCCTTAGATGCCTTAAGCTTAAGGCGAAAAAAGTATGTTGTGTTTAACACAGGTTAGTTAGTCAAACTACGGGGAAGGCACATGTATCTTCTGGAACTGCTGATTGGCAGTATTTCTGTTCAAGAAGGGAGATCATAGGGGAGTGATTCGTTATTTTATTTAGCCCCAATTAAGTCTATGCATCCGAATAAGCGAATGGACTTCAATGACGTATCATTCTTGTTAGATGAAAATCTGGGGAAACTATAGACGGAAAAGGCAAAGAAGTATGCAAATTTTGGCTGTAGACTGGAACAGAGTTTGTCAGCTTTAACAGTTCTGATTAAGTCTTTCATTATCTCCATCATGATCTCAAGGATACGAAGCAGCCCATGAAGCATTTCAGCTTATCTGTGGCTTAACGACGGTTCAAAACTGTCCTTGTAAAAACAGCAGGAATTGCACATTGTTAAAATATGCACATTATGCAATGGTTTGTTGTATGTCGTAACCATGCAGATAAGTGTTTTCCCTCGTCTGAGGCAATTTTAAAATAATGCTAATTTAAAGCAGTACGACGTTCAGAGTGTCAAGATAGAATATTCAGCTTTAAGCAGTACAACAACGTCATTAACCAGTACTACTCACAATACATTTAGAAAAGAATATACTTGTTTATCTCTGTTTCCTGATATCAGCCGTCCGACATTGACCAGATTTTCATTCGACTTAGCTTGCAAGTCATAGCATTTTTTTCGTGGGTTAAGTGCTTGAAAATATTTCGCAGACACAGTTCCTGGAAAATTACAAACAGTGGATCTTAATCCGTTTATTCACAAGACCGTTTATTGATTCAAACTTCCGCTACTACTAGAGCAGGATAACCAGAATGGAGAATCTTCATTTTCCATCGCCGCTTCTCCCTTCGGGTCGCGGAGGCAGACACGTCAGACAGTGCTTCCAACGTTCCCGATC